TTATTATTTAAATACCTTTTCTGAAAACTTCATTTTTGGTTTTACTTTTTTCAAAGATTTCTCTATTTTTATCAACTTTGAAAAAATTATCAACATCTTTATTATATTTTGTTTTATATCACATTCTTTCAGTATATTGAGGTTTTAGATAAATCTCACTGAATGAAAACTTAAAAAGAACTTAAAAATTTTTGTATTTTAAGACAGAAAAACAAATGACAAGATCATATCATCAAATTGAAAGCTTTTTAAAAAGAACAGGAGGAACTGCAGAAGAAGAAGGAAACATTGATTATCATGACTTTAAAATACTTGTTGTTGGTGCTGGTGGACTAGGATGTGAAGTTTTAAAAGCATTGGCAATGGTTGGATTTCAAAACCTTACAATTATAGACATGGATACAATTGAATATTCTAATTTAAATAGACAATTCTTATTTAGAAAAAAAGATGTTGGAAGACCAAAATCTGAGGTTGCAGCTGAGTTTGTAATGAAAAAAGTACCTGGCTGTAAGATTACTCATGTTGTTGGGAGATTAGAAGACCAACCATTATCATTTTACAAGTCCTTCAAATTAGTGATTAGTGGATTAGATAATTTAGGAGCACGAAGATGGACAAGTTCTACATTATGTTCATTAGTAGAAACTAGGAATGGAGAAATTGATCCAAATACTATTATTCCATTGATTGATGGTGGAACAGAAGGATTCCAAGGACATGTTATGGTTATTGTTCCTAAAGTTGGTCCATGTTTAGATTGTATTATATCTCTCTTCCCACCACAGAAAACATTCCCTATGTGTACTATTGCTTCACAACCAAGACTTCCAGAACATTGTATTGTTTGGGCTTCTCAAATAGCATGGGAAAATCCAACAATAAACACAGAATTTCCACATGGAACTAAAGTTGATGCAGATAATCCAGCTCATGTACAATGGGTTTATGAACATGCCTTACAACGTGCAGAAGAAAAGAATATTTCTGGAGTTACTTATCGTTTAACATTAGGAGTTATTAAAAATATTATGCCAGCCATTGCTTCTACAAATTCACTTATTGCTGCACAAACAGCAAATGAAGCATTTAAATATGCTACTGGATGTGCAAATAATCTTGATAATTATTTAGTTTATTATGGCAAAGATGGAATTAATACTTCTGTTGAATCTTTAGAAAAAAAGAAAGGGTGTTTAGTTTGTGATATGCAAACAATGAACAAAAGCATTCCAACAACGTTTACATTACAACAACTTGTTGACGAAATTAGTGATGACCCTGAGTTACAAGTTTCTAACCCAAGCATAGGATTAGAAAGTGGACAAATTATTTTTGTTTCACGAGGACCATTAAAAGAACAAACAGAGAAAAATTTAGTATTAGAGTTATGTCAGCTTGGAGTTAAGGAAGGAGAAGAGTTAATAATCAATTCTCCAGCAATCTCATCACCTATTTTCTTAAAGATTCATTATGAGTATTAAACGAATTACTTAATTATTAACATTTTAGAGATATTACAATTTTTTTTTAAAGAAACTAAACAAAAGAATTTTAAATGATTAAAAGAATTAAAAAATACAACCTTATTTATGCATAGTTTCAGGAGATATTGCAGAAATAATTTTTAATTTAGTTGAGTCATCAATTGTTGATTTAACAGATTGATATGAACATACTCTTATTGGAGTAGAACTTCTTTTTCTTTTTGATTCACAAAGGCGTTGACCTGTTTTTATTGGAGTTGGAAGAGATTGGATTCTTTCTTTAGAAAGTTCTTCAACATTACCTAAAGTAGGAGATACTTCATGACACACAGCAACCCTTGGAGAAGTATTTTCAGAAGAGTAAGTACTCATTTGCATTTTTTCTTCCATTTGTTCTTGAATTATTTGATGAAGTTGTTGAGGAGTAGGTGTTGGAGGTAAAGGACGTTGAGTAGGTGTTGGAGGTAAAGGACGTTGAGTAGGTAGTTGGTAATGAACTTGAGCATAATGGGGTTGTTCCATTTCCATTTTTCTTTCAGTAAAAGTATTGTTATATGTTTCAAGAGAGAAAGTGCCTTTTTTATAACATGCTATAGCGTCTGTATGATTTGATGGTTCATCAGTTTGAGCCGTTGCCATACTTACTAAATTATTTAATAATTCTCTATTTAATAAAATAGTAAATTTTGATGAAGATAAAAATTGAGCTTGATGAGTTATGGGGTCAAAGGTAAAAACAAATACCATCGATCTATAATCAATTTCTAATTCATGTTGAACAAGTGAATCAAGTTGTTGAAAAAATCTTGAGTACATTGAAATTTTTTAGTTTTAATTATATTCTCAAAAAATAATTTCTTAAAAAGAAAGAATATTCTATAGTTTTTTTAAAATTAACCAAGTATCAATTGAAAGTTAACTATTATAGTTTATTTGCTATTTCAATAGTTCAATATACTCTACGGTATCTTTAATAACTCTATTTCTATTAATTCTTTTGGTTTTATTTATTTAATAAAAGAAGACAATAACTCCAAACAATCTAACTGAAGAATTAGCAAGAAGGTCAGTTAAAAGATATTCTAAACTAAAACACATCATATCATAACGTTCTTCTAATTTCTATGTCTTAATATAAATATATAATTAAATTTATTATATTATAACACAAACCTTTTTTTGAATAATATGAAATGGTGATGAAGCAACTGTAGTAATAATCTTTTTTCTCCATTTATTTAAATTTTCAGCAAAAACAAATTGATTAGGATATAATAATTTATGTTCAATAACACTTTCTTTTCTTTGTTCAGTTATCAGTCCTTGTCTTATTAATATTAATATTTCATTTTCATTAAAATATGAAGAAGATATCATTGCATTTCCAGAAGAACTTTTGATATATTCTATTAACTTTTTAATAATATCCCCTTTATAATTCATTAATAAATATCCAATATATTCTTCTTTATCAACATATCCAATTATATATACACCATTGTCGATTATAATACATTCATTTAATTTAGTCTTTTTAAGTTCATTCTGTCTTATTTAAATTTGTTATGTTTTAATTGTTTTGATAAATAAAATACTACAAACTAACTCATCAATTAATGATGGTACTTGGTATGATAATAATTGACTCAATAACACTACAGGTGGTGTTGTTAATGAATATGAATCATTATAAAATTGTTCATGTAAAGATTCAAATATTTCCATTGTTTCATTTAATAAAACAAGAGCATCCTCTACTCCTGTTTGGTCAATATCAGTTAATATAGAAGTACTTTCTTGTTGTTCAACAGTTTCTTCTTCACAATCATATTTAAACAGACAATGTTGGTATATTTCAATTTCTCTTTGATGAACTAAATTTTTTGATGGTTCACTTCTTCTCATAAATAATAAAGTATTAAGTTTTTCAAGTTGTTACTGATTATTAAAACTATCTTCTCTTATTTTATACTCACTTGAAATTAACTTATTTATTTACTATAAATTAACTTATGTGAATTAGTTTAATAAAAAATTACTTTGAGTATATCAGTATATCTTATCATTTGTCAATAACTAAAATAGTTGGTTTTACCTACTCAAGAAATACAACAAATTTTATTGTAATGGTTATTGTGTAAATCCTTAGAGTATTGTAAAGAAAATCAAACAAGACATAAAAATCCAATGTCATACAATAAAAAAAGAAATGTCAATAGCAATAAATGGCATAACAATTATAATAATAATAATGGTAAACAATTACCAAGGAAAATGGATTGGAAGACGAAAGACACAAAGACAACGAAAAACAAACAAAAAACAAGATAAATACAATAATAATAAAGATTATACAAATAACAAATATAAATGGCTAACAATAAATAAGATACAAGAAATAATAAAAAGAATAACAAGTGAATGGAATAAAGGAAAATATGAAGAAATACATAAGAAGTAAGAAGATAAAAGACAAAGATAGTATGATATTCTTCAAGAAGTATATTCAATCAAAAGAAAAAGATAAATGAAAAAACTAAAGAAGAAATTAAAGGAAAACAAAATACAATGAAGAAAAGACATTAAAATAATTGAAGAAGAAATTAAAAGTGTAAGAATAATAAACAACAAAATAAAAATACAAGAAATACAACAAAATAAAGAAATAAAATTTTAATTGAAGTGATGTATTGTTTTGAAATTAATTGGTTAAATAAGAAATTATATAAAAAATTAAGAAATGAACAAATTGAAAATATAATAAAAATGACAAACACCAATGTCAATAATGAAAATGAATATATTAAATATATTAAAATGTCACAATATAAAATTAATAAAAGAAAGGACAATGATAAAATATAAATATTAAGTAAGAATAAAACTAATTTAATAAATGATATGAGTAATAATTTCATATTACAATAACAATTAAGAGTATTGAAGAAAAGAAACATTGGTTGTAAATAAAGAATAGAATAATGAAAATGGAGAAATAAAAGATATAAGAATAAATGGATTAATAAATTGAAACAATGGAATAATAAATACACAAAGTACTATATAAAATAAAGAATTAAAAATGAAAATTAACATTATAAAAGAATTTAACATATTGTTATTGAAAACACGATAAATGTTATTGAACATTAGTTTTATCATAACCAAATATGTTGTATAAAGTTACAGAAGAAGACTGTGAATAAGGTTAGTCTCAAATGAACAAAGAAGAAAAGAAGCAATTCTATTAACACTTAACTAAATGCTTATGACTGATTTTTTTTATTTTTGTTGGTGATTAAATAATGTCAATTATTTATTTTAATGAAACATTAATTTTTCCTAGCCAACCCCATTAATTAAAGATGTGAAATTAAATTATTTATTAATAAAAAAGTAGCTAATATTTTAACATTATTACTTGTCAATAAATCTTAAATATATTTCGTTACAACTTTAAAAGAAAAAACTACTTTATGACTTTTATCTCCATAACTCATAATCCTTGAGTCAATGTCAACTGATTCGAGGCAACAATTCCTTTCATTACTGAAGTCAATACAGGATATTGAACAGTCTATCGCTGAGAAAAAAACACTTTATTTACATGAACTTGAAGAAAACAAAAGATTGAAAAACATCCTTGCACAAGAACCAAGCCTTAGTAATTTTAATAATTATGACATGAGTGTATTTAAGTATATAGACGATGAGATAGAGAATAACAAAAAGATTTATAACCAAATATGTCAAGAGATTTATTTGGCTCAAAGTGATGATTTAGTGAGAAATAACTATAATACCAATGGTTTCTCTGTATATAATACTTGTGATACGATGCCAGTTGAGCCTTATAAAGAAACAACACAACAAAATGATATTTCACAACCTATACAACAACAAAATGAATTTACCCAAGAACAGATACCGTGTTATATACCTCAATATGTTAATTTACAATTTAAGTCTCTTCTTAAATATATAGAATCAAATGGATTGACTTGTTGTATTACTTTTAGTACTGAAAGAAAACAAATAAATTTGGCTCTATTGAAACAAGTTTATAGAAATAATTCCACTTTAATGATTGTTCAAATGAGGTGTGGAAATATTTTTGGTATCTTCTTCAATAATACTACTAAATCTCTCTTTAAGATTATTTCACCAGTCCCTTATGAATGTGGGTTATCAACTGTTTTTCAAAACGAACCAAACTCTTATCTTCAAATTACTGATGAATATATAGACTATAACCTTCTAAAAATTTATTTTAGTGGTATTATTGAATTTAATTTTAATCCAGTGACTAAGATATGTATAGAACCTCCTTATATGGATTATTTTTCACTTTATTCAGTTAATTAAATTTTTTTTTAAAAATTAATGAAATTTAGAAGAATAATTTTATTTACTCGCTTGCAGAACCTGAACCAACGTCACTTCCATTGGATGAACCACTTCCATTGGATGAATAAGAGCTACTTGCAGACCCTGATGCACTTTCACTTGATACTGAAATTTCTCCATCATTGTCCAAACCTTCTTCTTTCTTTGCAATATCATCAGACTCATTAACTTCAGAGGCACAGAAGATATTCTCAGTATCATCAAAAACTTTATTATTCTTTCTATTCTTTAATAAGACTAACTTAGCATAAAGAATGAAAGCAACTAAGAGTATTAAAGCAATAACAATAATAACTCCAACAATTACTATAACTGCAATAGCCCATGCTGGTACTTCTCCATTAGTTATTTGTGAAGAAATACCTGCTTCATTTGTTCCACATGGATCTTTTGGACATTCAGTTATTGTGTATCCTTTTGGTACTAATGCAACATAAATACGACAAACTTGTGTTAGTTCATATTTTGAGTCTATTGAATTCGTTGGTTTTCCTTTAAGATGATTATTGGATGTGATTGTGAATTTAACTCCAAACCTACTAATAAAGTTTTGGTAAGATGTTCTTAATAAGTATATTGGTCCTTCTAATTCTTTTTCAATTTTAATATTGAAATTCATTGTTTTTATTTCTCGACTGTTACTATTGATTTGAGTACTTGGTCCCATAACCATCATAAAGTCATTTGAGTTAACAAGGAAATTGATTGTTTTTTCATTAAATTCATAGTTTCCACTATCAAGATATAACTGACTATTCTCAATATTAACTTCTCCTAAATTAATTGTAGTTTGTGTGTTTGATATAATTACTCTACTACTATTCTGTAATGTAATAGAATTAAGTGTATTATTGTCATTATTGATTTTTAATGTTAATGGATTAACTCCATCTTTAACTAAAATAGATGTAGTTCCTGGTTTAATTAAAACAATATTTTCAATTGTACTAGTATTTTTTATTCCAATAAATGAAATGTTAGATTCTTTCTGAATAGTTAATTTATTCATTTGAATTTTTCCTACTCTAAACTCTACATTTCCTGTATCAATTTCAATAATTTCTCCTTGAATCTTATCTCCTTCTAATACACTAGTATATGTTTTTAAATCATTACCATTCTTTATGAAAAGATTCTTAACAAATTCATAGTTAATTCCCGTCATACGATAATCAATATCACTTATCATATTAACTTGACATGACTCTCCATCACATGAACATCCTGCTCTATCCCAACTTGTGTTTGTATTCTTATCATCAAATGCAATAACTCCTGATTGTATTCCTTCTTTTTTCATTGAACATATAATGTCTGAACTTCTTTTTCCTTTTGTTCCATATGTTGCATAACTCTTATATTTATCAATATAAACACCATCTGAATATTCTCCAATATTCACATAATTAATATCTGATGTTTCAACTATTTTGTAACTCTTTATATAACTAGAAACTACTTTCAAATTATTTGCATTAAATTCTTTTCCTGTTGGTATCATAAACATAGCTTCTTCATCTGTTGTTTCTTTAGTATTTGTAATTGTTAATGTCTTTGAATAAAGACTTCCTCCTAATTTAACTTGTTTGTTACTACTTATGAATAAGTCTGCTTCTTTCATTTCTTCAGTTGTTATTACTTCTATTTTTTGATCATTACTAAGAGTACTACTCAATGAAACTGATGCTCCTGATTTTATTGTTTGTCCTTTTGATGTTCCAAGTATAATACTAGCTTCATTCTTAAAGAAGAAAAAGACACTTGACCCACTCAATTGAGTTGCTGAAATACTGACTGGATTATCAAACGTTACTCTTGTAGGAAGTGACGTGAAAATATCAACAATATCTACTTTAATAGCTTGACTTCCTTTAAATTGATTAACTCCTCTTATTCTCATTGTTGAAATACTCAACACATTTGATGTTTCAACTTCTACTCTATCGGTATCTACAGTCAATGTCTCAATAGACCCTTTCATATCCTTAATTATTCCTGAAACATTTGATGGAATATTTGTTTCACACCCTGTGGTAAATATTTCTGATCCTGCTTCAGAACATGGACAGTTTTCTTGATCAATATAACTAGCCTTATCAGAGGCATTTAATGTTGTTGTTGATGCTTTGAATGTGCATTGCGTGTTACCGGGACATTTATAAGATAATGTTTTCTTTGAACAAACAATCCATAATTTAGATGAACATCCAAGATCAGACATTCCACTTTTTATGAAAGTGTTTCTTGAATTATCAGAACTACTGAAACTTCCTATTGCTTGACAAATACTTGATGATGCTCCACTTATTGTCATATTGCTACTACTAACACCAGTTATTCTTGATGGTACATCCCCTGTAAATATTGGTTCTTCATTAACTACATCCATTACAACTTCAATCCTCTTAAGATTAAGTGTTGATGTACTACTTACAGTCACTTTACTACTTATTGTATTAGTCTTATATACTTTGATGTTTGTTGCTTCAAACGTACTTCCTGTTCTAATGTTCAATGTTCCTTTAACATCAAGTCCTGTGTAATAATTCTCTGTTGTATGTCCCTTCTCAATTACTGCTTCTTTACTAGTTATAATATTCATGTTTCCTGTAATTGTTTCAATTGCACTTTTTCCTTTTAATTCAAGTTCTGGCACTGAAGTAGAACTAGAATCCGTTATTCCATGTATTTCAGATAATTTGATGCTTGACCCTTCAAGAATTAATCTTTTTCCTAATACAAACACTTTTGAAATAATTTTCTTATCTGATGCACTTATTGTTACTTCATTAATACTATTAACACTAATTGCATTAACATTAATATCACTGTTTGATCTAATAGTTACTTTATCTTTTCTTTCTTTATTTTCTTCATATGTTATTTGGCATGAACCAATTAAATCTTGTTCTCCTTTAGGATCTGAGTAATGACATGGACATAATGCTTCATTATATGAACTTTCTGAATTGAAATCAATATCTGTTTCTCCTGTTTTGAATGTACATTTCTTTGGTGTTTTAAATACTTCATCACATTTATATTTGGTGTCTATATTATAAATGAGTGCTCTGCCATAACAAGCTAAATAAAATTTGTTTGGTACATCTCCTGAATATGTTATTGTATTATCTTGTTTTGTAATGTAAATATTTTTTACTTCTGGTTTTGGTGTTGATGAAACTGTCATTATCTTCTCAACTACAAATCCTTTATCTTTATTTGAATTAATCAGTGAATCTTGTTTATTGGATTCTGTTATATCAGAGAAATCAAATGATACTTCTTCAACATTTAACCCATATTGTCCAAGATTGATCTTTGATTTTCCATCCATAGAAAGTGTTGGAATTTTTATATCTTTATTGGCAGTTATTATTGCTGATTTTAAAACCAATTTTGGTACATTAATATCTGTGTTTTTAAGTTGAATATTATCAAGTGTTACTTTAAGTTCTGGACTAAGACTTTCTGTTTCTTTAGTTTCTGATTTAAGTCCTTCTGTTACTGTAAGTTCACAACTTGATTGTCCATTTGGCTTAGTGAGTGTGACATCAGACAATAAAAATTTAAGTGTTTTAATTGTACCACATGTCTTAAAGATAACTTTACTTGTATTAACACTAAGTCCTTTTTCAATTATAAACTTATCTGCTCCATTTACATCACTTGTTGTTAATGAAACTTCAATTGGTTCAATTCCCTCTACCTTCATTGATGCACATTTATTCTTAGTATTTGTCTTGTAGAAAGTGTTAGTATAATCACATCCATCAATTAATTCATTTGTACTTGAATAATCCATTTCTTTAAAAATAACCTTCTTTCCACTTGGATGGAATGTAATTTTGTTTGTTCCTGTACTTGTTACTACTTTTTCTACAAAATCTTTAAACATTCCAAAAATAACGTTATAATCATTATTTGTGTTATCTTTTGTACCAGTAGATTGAATTTTAAGACTTTCTGTATATTCTCCATTAATATTAACAACACATGTTGGACAGACATTAATAGTTCCACTATTAACAGTAATTCCTTCTGGCACTGTATATTTACCACTATTACTTAATGTAACAGTATTAATATTATTTCCACTGTTAATAAATGTTCCTTCTTTATCAACTGTTAATGTTTCAACACTTGTACCATAATATTCTAACTTTACTGAAGAAGAACTTGGACTAAATGTAACAGTCTTAGACTTTGTTCCTTTTAATTTTCCATTAGTAGAAATTGTTATCTTAGACTCTCCTGTTTGAGAGTTAATATCAACACTTGAAAATCCATTAATGGTAACGTCTCCTTTAATCTCAAGATTCATAACACTTAAACTACCTGTTCCAGAAATAGTAGCTCCTCTTGGAAGTGTCAATTTATGTAAAGCAATATTCTCTTTTGGGAATGTTATTGGATTTGTTGATCCTGTAAATTCAAGTTCACATTCATATCCAGTAAGACTTTGACATGGACAAACAAGATCAGTTCCTGTTACAAATGTTCCATCTAAAGTACATTTAACAACATTGGAATATGTTTCAGTTATTGGTACAGCTGAGATAATAACTTGTGTAGGTTCTACTAATCGATAAAGATCAGCATCAATCTCTGTTATAACCATTCTTTTTCCTGAGGTTTTTATAGAACGTTTTTCATTAGTAACAGTAGATGTTAATTGTGAAACAGAAAGTTCACAATACTTTCCAACATCAATATCTTTGTTTAAGTAAAGTGTACCAACAACTAATTTAAAATACTGTTGTACAGATTCTACAGCTAAAGAAGTACTTCCTATCATATCCAAATTAATGGTAACACCATTATTTTGTGGTTTAATAACAGTAGTTCCCTTTCCAACTATTTTCTTTTGATACTTAGAATTATTACTTGTAGATAAATCAGTAGTTTTAAGAATATTAACTTTTGCATTTTCATGATTTAATTGAATAATTCCTCCTTTAAAATCATTTACAGTAACTTCCACAGCCCCATTGATAACAACTGTTCCTTCTCCACTAATAGATTTGAATGTAGTTTGACTAGTTACAATAAAATAACACCCAAAACTCATAGTTAATTCAATATCTGTTTGTGATTCTGTTTGAGATTGGTAAGAATTACATGATATAGGAGTAGCAATAATCAGAGTAAATAATGTAAATAAGAAAATGATTAACATAAAAATAGTAATTGTAAGATGTAAATCTTTCAGTTTTATTATTTCCTTTAATTCGTTTCAATAAGTCTAATTCGTATCTAAATTTAGTAATGCAGATTAGAAGGAAAAGTTAATGAATTTGAGATTAAATCTAAGTAAATTAATAACATTACAAATTCAATTAAGGAAAAAAAGATTTGTCTAAATTTACTTTACTTTGACTAAGAAAAGAAATTAAAAATCAATCAATTTTCTTTATTTTCTTCTTTTTTCAATTTTTGATCATCATCTAAACAATCATCTATTTCTCGATGTAATTTTTTCTCAGGTGCAATTATGTTAAATAAAAATCTTAAGGCATCTAAGTCTTGCTTATTAATTAACATAGAAAGATAAACTCGACCAACCCATCCACAATAATAATTACCTTGCAAAATACCATCAACTACTTTCACTAAATAACATCCATTCCCTTTAAACTCTTTTTTAAATTCACTTAAAAGTACATCCTCCCTAAGAAGTTTCATAAACATTTCATGACTAACTTCAATGCAACGATCTTGCCCGATATATTCTCCTAATGTAACAACACCTTCACTAACTATTCTATATGCTCCAACTAATTCACTTTTATGTCTTTTAAACATTTTAACACCTCCACTAATAACTTTAATGTCATGAGCTAAAAGAGTACTTGTTTTAGATAAATAATGAATTGTAAGACAATCTTCTCCAACAACATATAATTGATCTTTAGGGAAAGAATCAGAAAGGTTATAAAAATTCTTGATAGATTCAAATAACTTTTCTCCTTCTGGTGTAGAAAGAAGAGGCTTTAACTCTTGTTCATCTAATGGAGCCATTCCTCTTCTTCTTTTAGTTGGCTGTTTTTCAATAACTTCTTCACCATTGTCTCCAACATACTTTTTTTCTTTTTTTTGTTTAGGAGGAGGTGCTGGGGTTTCTCCTTTTTTAATGAAAACAGCAGTAAAGAATCCTCCAGTGTTTTGTTGGTGAGGAAGAATACGTAATGTATATTCTAAATGGAATTTAGCTGCTTCTTCTGGTTTTGGAGGGAAAGCAGTAATAGGAATATTATCATTTTTATCTTTCATTACAGTAAAATGTTTGTCAAATACCTTCCATTCTGATACTCCTTCACTAAATTTAAGTGTTGGAAGGAGTGGACGAGCATCAATAAGTTCAATAGAATCACCAAATGTTCTTAAAAGTTCTGCTACCACTGCCTCATCCTCTATTGGATTAAGACTACATGTTGAATAAACAAATTTTCCTCCAACCTTTACATGACAAAGAACATGTTTCATAATATCTAATTGTTCTCTATGGAGAGTGTAAGCATTCATAACATGCCATTTTGTTCGTGCATCAACATTTTTTCTTATAGTACCATCTCCAGTACAAGGAACATCACATAACATTCTATCAAATTGAAATCCATTAAATGATAATTCTTGAGCACGATAATTTGTAATAACAATATGTGGTGCTGATAGTCTTTTAGTTTGATGTGTTAATAAATAACTTCTTTGTTTATCTACATCATTGGCGACAACACATCCTGTTGGACCAACCATTTCAACTAATTGTGAAGTTTTAGAACCTGGAGCAGCACATATATCAAGTACTGAACTTCCTTCATGAACATCAAGTAATATAGCAGGTAACATACTAACAACTTCTTGTCTACTAATTTCTCCTGATTCATTCATAAGAATCATAAATTTATGAAGAGTATTGTATTGTTCGCATTTTCTAATTTGTTTTCTTTCAACTTCTAATTGATAAGTATTTGGACACCACTCAAAAGTATGTGGTCTATATTCTTCTGGTATTTCAGAAATAATTTTATTAACAACTTCATGTACTTTGGGGAATGTTTCACTTGATTTAGTTAAACGGAAAGAAGTAGGAAGAGGAGTTTTTATTACTTTCATAAATTGTTCTTCTTCTTCTGGATTAATGATTCCTTGAAGTTTGTAATACTTCTCATAATATGGACTTGTTTGTTCGTATTTATTAAAGCGTTGAGGATGCTGCATAGGGTTACAATACATTTACAGATGAAGATGAAAGTATTTTCCATAATAACATAAATTAATTTTTTGTAATAAAAATGATATTTATAAAATGTTAGATTTTTATCAATCAAAAATTTATTTTTGTTATGTATTACAGAAAAATACAAGAAAACCAGAAAAAAAGAAGAAACTGATGGAAATGTCTTAGTTTGTTGAAGTTGGAAGAATTAAAAAAAAAATGAACTACAAACAAATTAAGGAAGATGAGGTTCGTTTAGTTACTTAGTATTTTTATTTTCTATTGACCAATTTATTCTTCTCTTACACTTGACTCATTGCTAGTGGAAAGCCAAAGTTTTCAAATGCTAAAAAACCAAGAGCGTCTGAGGTTGTTAAACAAAAAAAAGAACAAAAGAAAGCATTGATTGAACAAGAACCTGAGAATGAAAAGATTCGAGATATCTATAGAGATGTCAAAGAAACCCAAGATATTATGGCTGATGTTTGTTTCTTTTTTTTTAAAGAATAAAAGAATAAAGTGATAGATTAAATATGATAGAACATTGATAAAATGACACGCAATCTTGAACAAGCAGAAGACTTGGAAGAAAAAACTGATGCTATGGTTGAAAAGGCAAATACATTCAAAAAACAATCTCATCAAATGAAAAAGGCAATGTGTTGGAGAAAATGGAAATTATGGATTATTATAGGTGTTATTGCTGCTATCATTATTGCCGTTATCGTTGTTGTCGTCATTATTCCAATCATTAAAAAATTTACGTAATAATTAAATTTTTTTGCCATTTGCTAACATTTTTTACTTGAATAAGTAAAAAAGATAAAAATAGTTTAAATGAAAGTGAATAAGAAAAAATTTTATTTAGGTAATATGTATTAGAACAACTTAAAAATGATTTAGTTTTAAAGAAGAAACATGTTTCGTTTTAACAAATAACAATATAAACATTTCATAAGAATAGTCTTATTACTTTTTATTTTATATCATACTTTTTTGAAAAGGAAATTTAAGAATATATATTTAAAGAAAAAGTCTGAACTAATTCAAAAAACATAAAAAAAAGAACTATTAATTAAAGTATTATAATAATCTTTAACTCAGAATCTTAAATTTTAATTCATTAACAATGGATACTGATTCATTAATAAATAGAATTTGTAAATTAGAAACTTTAAATGAACAATTAATAAAAGAACGAGATACTTTAATTCAAGAATTAACAACACTACGATCAACTGAGAATGTAGAAAATCTTAGACTTCAAATAGAGCTTTTAAAGCAAGAAAATAATGATTTAAAAAACAAAATAATCTGTTGTTCTTCTAATCTTTCACCTAATGAACCAGTTCCTTTTTTATATGATTCTATGATTGATACTAATCATTCTTTCACAAATGAAAAGTTATTAGTTGATGAAAATATTATTAGGTATGATGCTATTCAAGACTTTTTATTCCATTCTTTAAAAAGTTCATTAGAAAGACAAATTAATGAAATTGAAAGTTCATTAAATGTTCTTTATGATTCAATTCAAACTAAATCTACTTCACCAAGAGATTCATTAAGAATAAGACTTCAAGAAATCTTATTAGAAAAAAAAACAAAACTTCAAATATTAGAAAGTTTCATTAAAAGGAATCAAAAAAAGTCTATTTCTTCTAGGAGTTCTTGTGACATTTCTTCTTGTAATACAGAAAATAAGGTTCACAAAAAAGAAGATGACTTCCCAAAAGAAATAGAACTTACCATAAATGAAAAAAAATTAATAATTAATGGAATAATTACGGCATTAAAAATGGCTAATATTAGATATGAAACTATTGAAATAAACCCAGAAGATCTTTTATCCATATTAAAAGAAGAAGAAATAAGATTTAATAAATGGGCAGAAAGGATTCAAGTAGAGTTGTCAAATCTTGTCAGATATTAAATCATATTGTTTTTACTTTTTATATTCTTTTAATAAAATTAATACTATTAAAGAATTATACTTAAATTATTTGATTGAACCATTCTTTATCTCAAAATTACTGAATTATAAAATTATTTTTTATTAATTATCTAACTATAAAAATACTAGTCAAGTGTAAAAAAACCCTGAAGAACTATGAAATGTGCAGAACAAAGCGATGGCCATTGATTTAGACAGACATCATGTTCGTAAACACGTATCAAAGACCGCACGTGGAAACAACGCTTATATGAAACTTCTTGTTCGCCTTTATGGTTTCCTTGCCAGAAGAACACAATCTAAATTTGCTAAAACAATCTTACACAGACTTTGCTTAAGTCGTGTTAATAGACCAATTGTTTCAACTAGTAAATTAGCATGCCTTATGAAGAAACACCCAGAAGAAACTGCAGTTTGTGTCAATACAGTTACTTACGACAGTAGATATCCAGTTCCAAAAATGAATGTTTGTGCTCTTAAATTCACCAAAACAGCAGAAGCAGCCATCACTAAAGCTGGTGGAAAATGTTTAAGATTTGATGAACTTGCACTTAAAGCACCAACTGGAAGAAAGACTGTCCTCATTAGAGGAAAGAGAAATGTCAGAGAAGCACTCAAACATTTCGGTAAAGTTTGTGCTAAGAAGAACCCAGCTAAGCAATATAAGGGAAAACAAACTAAATAATTGCAATGGATTTGAGTTTGTTTCTTTATTTTCATAAGTTAGATTTTTATTGGTTTAATTTTCTATAAGTAATAGTATATTTATTAAAAAAATAAATTTTATGCTAATCAAATTTAATAGTTGGATTTATTTATTCATTTGTTATGCTTCCTTTCCATTCTCTTCAATATATTCAATTTAATAAAGGATTTAATGGGTTTTTGATTAATACACCAAATAACAATAATAATATTATTATATCAACTGCGTTTGGAGTTGGTAGTGTTCATGACAATATCTATGGAGCTGCTCATTTTCTTGAACATATTATTCTTCGTGGAAATAATCAATTTAATAGTGAAGAATTAAGAAAAATGAATAATAAACAATTATTAAATATTTCTGCTATAACTTCTAGAGAAATTACTAAGTTTCAGTGTATTACAAGTCCATTATATTGGAAAAGAGATATAACTACAATGATGTCATTATTATTTCAACCAACATTTAATAACAAACAAATAATAAAAGAAAACAATATAATTAATTCTGAAAGGCAATATGTTAAAATGGATAAAACTCAATTATTATTTCAAAAAAAACATGAATTATTATTTGGAAATAATACACCATTTGGACATGAAATTATTGGTAGTGAATATTCTCAAAAACAAATACAATTTTTAGAATTACAAACTATGTATAATAAGTATTATAATTCAAAGAATTGTTGTATTGGGATAATATGTCCTTATCAATATCAAACTCAACTAATAAAATTTATTAATAAAAATATTAATCAATTTTATCTTAAACAATATTCAAAGAATCAATGTTTTAAATCTACTCATATTAGTCAATATAAAAAACCAAAAATTATTTCTAAAGACAATTATTGTATAGTTACAAAAGGTTCTTTTAGAAATAGACTTATTACAGATTTAATTAATTATAAAGTTTCATTAAATCAAGAAAGTTATCATATCCCTTATCATTATTACAACTTAATTATTTCTTCTTCTCCTTTAAATTTAAAATTTCTTCAAATAAATTCATCTCTTAAAGAAAATTATTTAAATAAAGTTAATGAAGTATTTAATACAAATCCAATACTTTTATTAGATTATTATTTAATGTTTGAACTAAATTTTTATTATATTCATTTAAATTAATTATAAATATTAACAAATAATAGGAAAATGATGTATAAAAAAGTACATACAACTTATGAGCTTTCTATTCTTCAAGACTATAATTTTATTAATTCTATTAAACTTAAAAACTTGAAAGAAGTATTTAATTAAATTTTTCAATCTCCATTTCATTAAATGTTTTTTCATCAATAGATAAAGTTTTTGAATAAGAATAAACTAATGAATTGTAATCAACAAATCTTGTAAGCCATCCTTCTTTACCTCCTTGAATAAGTCTTACTTCATATTCTATATTAAATTTACATTGATTAATATTCATAACAAATTGTTTAACACGTTCTTGAGAGATTCTGTGTATTGCAGTTACTTCTTTCTTTTGATTAAAAATAACAATAGTATCATTTGTCTCTGAACAATAATTATTAAACGTTATAAGAAGATATATCTGATTTTGAATTCTAATTGGTTTTAATTGAATATCTATTGCAGGTCCATGTCTAAAGTTTGGTTCAAGTACTAACATTTCTTGTTCAGTTCCATATGATATTTTATAAAAACCTCTTTTTAATGACATATTTCTTTGATTTGTTTCTCCTACACTAATACTTATTTTTTCTCCAGCTTCACATTGTAAAATAATTTTATCATCATTAACAGAACTAAAATATATTTGTGGTTTTTGTGTTTTATTTATTAAATTCAGTTGATTTTCTTCATGACTATTTACTGTTATATTTGTTTGATTTTCTTCTTTGTTTCTTTGAGTAGTAAATTGTATAGTGCTTTGTTTTAATTTCATTTTCCTTATTTGATCTAATTCTTTTGCAAGTTTTATTTTCAACATCTACTGAAATGAAAATTAGTTATTCACTTATTTTTTTTGAAAAAAAAAATAAAGTAAATTTGTGTTTTGTTTAACAATTAATTAGTAGGTACCAAAACTTTTGGAGAAGCAAGATGAAACATAGAATATTGTGCAAGATATGGTACATCTCTGTGAGTAACTGTAATACCTTCACTATTTAAATGATCTAACCAAATACCACATTCACGTTCAACATTTTGCCATTTTAAATTCCAACCACTTTCAGTGATATTATAAATCTTTAATAATTCTTTAAAAAAGTTCTTTTCATTTTTGAAGTCTTTAACAAACATTTTCATAGTTTGTGGAACAAATATTGTTTTTGAATTACCTAAAGCAGCGCATTGAGTTCCAATAAATTGATTAATTGCTTTTCTTTTTTGTTCAGTAAATTCATTAGTTTCATATAACCAAATAGGAGGTGATGAAGTCATGCCAAAACTTATTAAGAAACAAATGAAATTATCTTTTTCTTTACAAACAAATTTTACTTTAGGACTTGTTGAAGGGTATGAAATATTTGATCCTAATGAATCATCTTTTCCAAATGGTGCCCTTAACATTCCACAAAGAACTTCTTGTAAAGTAAAATCTAATCCATCAATTTTATAAACAATTTTTTTATACTGTTCCATTAATGTACGATGGTCTGGGTATGGTCTATGTTTCATATAAATTAATCCATGAAGTAACATAGTGTGATAAATATTTAACCAAAATGGTTCTTTTTCTTCATCTTTTAAATGTAATAAACTAATAACAGCTAATTCAGTAGATTGTGCTTCAAAAATTGCAAATTTTTGTTTTTTATCAAGATAAATTGATTCAATATCAACGTCATTAACTCTACCATAAAATCCTGATCTTAAGTATAATGATATTATTGCATATAATAAAGATCTACTAACTTCTAATGGACTTCTTGTTGTTTTATCAAATTTTTTACTTGAAATTTGATTAAGTGGTATTGAAGGAAAAGGAGTTAATAAATGATCCAATACTTTCTCATATAAATTGAAATTAGCTGCAAGATGATAATTAGGATACATTGATGGTGCATATACTGAATTAGCAACTACTCCCCAACTTTCTCCAAATACTATATCTCCTGGATGACTTTGAAGATCAGCAATAACACTTTCACAACGAGGTGGAATAGAAGAAAGGTCAACCATGTCAGGAGTAACTAATTCGTTAATACCTGAAATAGATGTTGGAACATTTTCTTCTTTAATAATAGTTTCTAATTCTTCAAATTGAATAGTTAATGTAAAGTTTGGTGCAAGGAATTTTTCATCACGACACCCTTTATCTAATTCAAGTTTTGTTAATGTTAAAGTAGTTCCTTTAACAAACCATGTATTAAACCAAACAGTAAATAATTGTCCTAGTTTTTGGCTATAAACTTCTACTTTTACATCTCCCATTAAATTAACATTTTCAATTGGAAAAGTAATTGATTCTTCTCCATATTTATCTGAACCAGCTTGTTCTCTCATCTTCCAATCCCATGCACAAATAGTTTCTCTTATTGACACATCTGGTTTATGTTGTTTAATTTCTTCATAAATTTTATCAAACAAATCAATGTCAGCTTCTCTTTTATTTTTATTTTCTCTTCCTTTTCCTCCTCTGACTGTTCCAAGAGCTTTATCACATTGGATAGTTTTCCATAAAAAGATTTTAATTCTTAAATCTTCATTAATCTTTGGAATAGGTTTCATAGTAATTGAAATTAATTTTAATTTTCTTTGTCCATATGGTAGTTTTGCCAATAAAGTTGATCCCCAATACCCAACATATTTAAGTTGTGATGGGATAGTTACTCCTTTTTTATCATATGTTCTTGCATTTCCATAAAGATCAACTGCTTCATATGAATGAAGACAGTCTCTAAAATATACTAATAAACATGCGCACATTAATCCAGTTCTTCCTTTTCCTGCTTTACAATGTAAAGCAATAACATTTTGAGGGTCACGAGAAAGAAATTCATCAACATCTTTACATAATTGTGATATAATTTCAAATTGAGGAGCGTTATGATCATCGAATGGGAAATAACAATCTATTTTATAAGTACTTTTAATTAATTAACTTATTAAACATCAAACATTCACCTTTAATTTTGTGTTCTCCATCATATGGTTTTTCTGAACAAAAATTATAAACTTTATAATGACCCCCATGAAACGTATCTAAAAAACTATTCATAAATTCTTTTCTTTAATTGATTAAAAACAAAACTTTAATAAACAAACTTCATTACATCTGGAAATGGATTTCTATAAGCAGCTTCAAATTTTTCACTAGGAAATCCCATTGTAATAATACGTGGAGTAATATCTATGATTTATGAATTATATTGTTATAATTAATTCAATAAAAAAAAAAAGAAATAACAAACACGACAAATCAAGATCAAACCCAAATTTCTGATATCTTTTCTTTTCTTTAGAAACTGCTTCTCTTAAAAAACTTGACATTATTTTTTTTAGTTCTTCTTCTTTTTTAAACTTATTTCTAAAACATCTTTTTAACAGCTTCATGGTGGAGGCATCAGCAAACCTTATTTATAATAGAAAAAATGTTTTAAAAACTTATTGAACTTTATAACACCTTCTTCTAACTATTAAACATTTTAAACAATATAAATATTGTACATTATTTCTTCTTAAAAATTATATTATTTTATATGTTATAATAAAGGATTTACTTCAATAAACTTCAGTTTGTTTCATAGAAAATTAAGATACTTTTTTGTTTTTTAATAAATCCATTGAAGTATATTATGTATTTACTTCAAAGTATTGATGGTACATTATAAAAAGTAATAAAATGTATAATGGTTCTTTATTATATGTTTATTATTATTTATTAGACTAATAACAATTTCTACTCATTTATGTTTTATGTATATTTCATCTTAAATCCTTTAAGTTTTTATGAAAAAGCAAATTTAATTTGGTTAATTGAAATCTTACTGTTTTTATTTCCTATTTGTAATTTCTTACTTCTGAAAACAAAGTAGTAATAATTTATATTCTTGTAATGTTCATTATTTTGTTGATGTTCTTTTTCTAATTTTATATTAGGTAAAAAAAAAATGATTTGTAAGCAGACTGTAAATATTGTCTTAGTGAGTCTTTAGTTTCAGTTAGTTATTTTATTAAGATTTATTAACTTATAATAATACATTCTATTGTTCTATGAATAACATGGTATATATTTCGATTTCACACAACCTTTCTCAAAAGTTTCTACCAATTGTTTATTTTTAATAAATAACTGCTTAATAGATTCTAATCCACTAATTCAGCTGATTGTGATACGGTATAATTATTTTATTCAAGTTATTTATAGTTGTTATCTTTTTTTCTTGTTATTTAGTATATAATGTTTATATTTCTCATTCTTTTTAATCTCAGAAATTAAGAATATCCCAATTTTCTTTTATTTCTTTTATGTATTACAGCATCAGTTGTAAATTGGAAAGTCACTGACCTAGATAAAATTGATTTGGAGATAAGAAAATAAATAAATAAGAAAGGCAAAATACATTGGTGCCGGAAACTCCAAAGATAGGTTATATGTCATTATAGAAGAAATGGGTGAAGGATTAATAAATATAAGGGACGAATATGTTATTGAATTAGTTAGAACAGTAATGTACTATTGTACCAGAGAAAGTGAAATAGGAAATAACATATTAGATAGATGTTATAGTAAGAAGGGAATATGGAATAGAATTAAAAACAATAATTCATAAAATCAATGAAACAAAAATAGAAGAAATAATAAATGAAGGGATTGAAAAGAAAAAAGAAAAAGAAGTAGTAGTAGTAGTAGAAATAAAGAAATTAATGATAAATACATTAAAAAATGGAAGTGTCATCAAACAAGTGGATATTTTAGAAGATGGTTCGAGTCAAAATGAGTAGATAAAATTACTACAATTAAAGCATGGAACTTCATCAATATTAAAAAAAATGCATTTCTCCAATTAACTAAAATGCAAGATTGAGCAATATTTTGTGGGTATAGAAAAACAAAAATAATGAAAAATGAAAGATTAAAATACTGCACACTATGTAAAGACAAGATAGCAACAGTAGAACACATTCTACTATCTTGTATTTATCATAATAAATCACAAATAGAAAAACATGACCATATTGGCATTATCATATTGATTAATAAGAAAATATACAGGAAATATTCAATATAAAAAACCCCCATATGAAACAGTGTTCAATATAAAGACATTACTATGATATTTAACAAACAAATAATGCCTAAAAGTGAATGACAATATCACAAAATACCAGACATATATGTAATAGATAAAAAGAATCAAACTAGTCTAATATTTGATATGACTATTGTGGCTGATCACAATATTAATGGAGCCTATTGGAAGAAAAGAAATAAGTATAAGGAATTAAAGAATATTCTAATGAAAATAGAGAAACTAAAAGATGTCAAAATAATTCCAGTATTAATTTCAATAAATGGATTAATAAATAAAGAAAGTACTAAATTAATTAAAGAATTAAAAATTGAAATAGACATCGAAAAAGAAGTAAAAAACATTGTAATAAAAACATGATGGATGTTATGGAATACTGCTTCTATCACAACCAAATATACTCCATAGAGTTGTTTGAAGATGACTTATTGACAGGATTAGTTATCTACTCTGAGCCATTAACAATAGAAGCTAGTTCTATTAATACTTAATAAATTACTTTTATTATTGACTATTTATTTCTATTAAAATTATTGTTAAAGTATTTATTAAGATGACTATAGTTGGGTGGTGAGTGAAATAATGCATGTCATCTGGTGTAATGATTAGTGTGATAGTTGTTGTGTCTCTTTCCAGACAGATAATACTTATTTTCACTCATTCTTCTATCATTTATATTTCTTGGATGATGTAAAATTCTTCTTCTTTGGTTATTTATTTGCTTAATACTTTTTGTGACGTAGCTTATAACATATCTTATTTGGCTCCAAAGTTTAAAAATAAAAAAGAGATAAAAAAACATAATAAAAATCTTTTCTTTTAATAAACCGAGATATATAACATTTTCATAAATAATTAATCATAAAAAATTATTTAAAGTCTTCTCAAATCCTTTTTTCTCTTCATTTGAAATCTTTATAAGCTTTGATGTTGAAATACGACACCTTAGTTTTTAAAAAGTTTGAAGTAAATAAGTTCACTCAAATACTACTTGTTGGCTTATTTCGTAACATAGATATAATCACAAACATTAGAGCTATAACAACCAAAACTGACAAAAAAATTATAACAACACGGCTATCATTCTTTGGGGTAATGACTTCTTTGCTATCTTTTTCTTTAACCTCCTCCACCTTTTTCTTTATATCTCCCCTTTGTTTAAGTTGTTGTTTCTTTGCTTCTTTCTTTGCTTCTTTCTTTGCTTCTTTCTTTGCCTTCTCTTTTGCTTCTTTCTTTGCTTGCTCAGACTTTTCTTTTCTAGCTTTCTCTTCTGCCTCTTGTCTAGCCTTCTCTTCTGCTTCTTGTCTTGCCTTCTCTTCGGCTTCTTTCTTTGCCTTCTCTTTTGCTTCTTGTCTTGCTTTCTCTTCGGCTTCTTTTCTGGCTTTTTCCTCTGCCTCCTGTCTAGCTTTCTCTTCGGCTTCTTTTCTAGCTTTCTCTTCGGCTTCTTTTCTAGCTTTCTCTTCGGCTTCTTTTCTAGCTTTCTCTTCGGCTTCTTTTCTAGCTTTCTCTTCGGCTTCTTGTCTTGCTTTCTCTTCGGCTTCTTGTCTTGCTTTCTCTTCGGCTTCTTTTCTAGCTTTTTCCTCTGCTTCTTGTCTTGCTTTCTCTTCGGCTTCTAATCTAGCTTTCTCTTCGGCTTCTTGTCTAGCCTTCTCTTCTGCTTCTTGTCTAGCTTTCTCTTCTGCTTCTTGTCTAGCCTTCTCTTCTGCTTCTTGTCTAGCCTTCTCTTCTGCTTCTTGTCTTGCTTTTTCTTCTGCTTCTTGTCTTGCTTTTTCTTCTGCTTCTTGTCTTGCTTTTTCTTCTGCTTCTTGTCTTGCTTTTTCTTCTGCTTCTTGTCTTGCTTTTTCTTCTGCTTCTTGTCTAGCTTTCTCTTCGGCTTCTAATCTAGCTTTCTCTTCGGCTTCTTGTCTTGCCTTCTCTTCTGCTTCTTGTCTAGCTTTTTCCTCTGCTTCTTTCTTTGCCTTCTCTTTTGCTTCTTGTCTTGCTTTCTCTTCGGCTTCTAATCTAGCTTTCTCCTCTGCTTCTTGTCTTGCTTTTTCTTCTGCTTCTTTTCTAGCCTTCTCTTCTGCTTCTTTTCTGGCTTTCTCTTCTGCTTCTTTCTTTGCCTTCTCTTCTGCTTCTTTAATGGCTTGTTGTTTAGCTTGTTTTTTACTTTCTTTTATACCTTTATTTTCTTCTGTCAGTTGTTTTTGGGTGTTAAGGTACTCTAATTCAGGGCTTCCCATTCTATTGTGAATAGAATTGACACATATTTTTTTTGATTTAACAAAATTTTCATTCATTTCTTCCATAATATCTTCTTTTTCATTTTCAGCAGAGATAATAATAGCTTCATCTACCTCAGCAGATATTTCATTATCACAACTTTCTTCTGATTTTTCTGACTTCAATGGTTCATTGTCAAACTCAATAACAAGAGTTTTTATTGGATCGTAATAAACTTGACTACATAAAGGATATGCCCACTTTTCAATGAATCTTGCATTACTAGGCATAAAAACTTTTCTCCAATCACATTCTTCTATTCTTTCTAGTTGACCTCTATATTTAACAATGTATTGGTAACAGAGATAGTCTCCACCAGTATCAATAGCACCTTTCCAAATATGTCCTTCATGCCAACTCATTGGTCTAAATTTTAGTAATACAAAAAAAAACATTATTAAGCTTTATAAAATAAAATCAAAAACAAACAAGTCTCTCTGGTCATTTACTCTAATGAACAAATCTTGTCCATAACGAGTTATATATTCTAATTCTACGTTCAAATGTTTTATACTCATTATGAATTTTGTCAGAAATTCTGCTAGTATAACTAAGAATAAATACCCAAAGATCTCTGTTTGATTTAGATTCTTTCTTAATTCTAAAGAATTCCATATAAAAAGTAAATGAAAAAACTTATATTGATTTTTCTCTCTTTTTATACCTACCTCTGCTTTTTCTATTCCAAATAACCAAGTATTTAAAATATCTAATTACTCTTACATAATATAATAATTACGTGTTAACAACTTTGTTCAACAAAAAAACCTTCATCACAAACCAAAAATTTTCAAAAGATAGTGGTAATAACATAATTAAATAAAATAATCATTTTTTTGTTTTTATCAACAATAACATAAAATGAAAAATTACAAAATTTATTCGAACAAATTACAAAAGTGAAACAATTATTTGAAACATAAGTAAAAAGAGAAATTAAAGTACATTAATTAGATCTAGTAAAATAGTTAAGGGATGAGCGGAATTGGAGACGCATTTGGAAGAAAGTTTTATCAAATTAAAACCCATGTTGGTGCAGGTCAAAAAACTATGGATAGTGATGTTCAATATGCTAAGAATAAACTTAGTGAGTCTTATAAAAAGTTTAAGAATATTTTAGATGTTATCAAGAAGTTAGCACCAACAGTACATGCTACTAATTTGATGCAAGTTGAAGTTTTAACATCATTAGGTGATTGTGTTGTTAATACTAGTCCAGAAACAAAGTCTGATATTGATTCTATAATTTCAACATTCCAAAAAATTGATGAAGGAGTTAATACATATGAAACAAGAATTGAAAGTGATATTATTGTTCCATTAAAAACTTATATGGAACAATTCAAAGTAATGGAAAAGAGATTTGAAATTTGTCACAATAGAAGAGTTGATATGGATAGATATCATGACTCAGTCCTCAGCATTTCTAAGAAACCACCAGGAAAACAAAGTGGACTTGGAGAAGCACAGAACAAATACAATGTTGCTAGAGACCTTTACAATTATCTTAGAAATGAAATTATTGCTGATGTTGAAAAATTAACATCTTCTGCTGAGGAGGTTGTTTCACCAATTTGTGGGACTCTTATTGTTAGTTATACAGATTATTTGAATCATTTAAATAATTATTGGGGAGAAGCTTCAGAAGTTTCTAGTAATTTCAGAATTTGTGCACTTGACCCAGCACCAATTATTACTCCAGGAGAATCTTCAATGGTTATTGATGCAAATGTCTTCTCAAAGAAGTCAAGTGATGTTATGGATGGAACATATGAGCCATCAGAATTTGAAAATTCAGGAAGTTCTA